GGCGCGAGGGCGAAACTCGCGGCGTCCCCCTCACGGTCGCCACCGGGCTGCGTCTCGCCCAGCCCCTCACCGCGAGCATCGGACTGGACTTGCCAGGTGTTCCCGGCGCCAGCTGCGGCACCACGGCCTCAGCGAGGAAGCCCCACAGGCAAAGCCTCGGGACGGCCAGTGCGGCACAGGCAAGCCCGGCAGACGGGCAAGCACGATGGTTCCAGGGCCGTTCGTTGTGGAACAGACCCTCATAAGCTGGACTCCTCTCAGCGAGATTTTCAGGCCGGTCAGTTGTGTCAGGGAAATCTCTGCGTGTTCTCCAGTATCCACTCTTCCCCCAACTCAGCCCCAGGAGGTTCCCATTTTCTGTTTCTCAGCTTGTGTGGCTGTGGCTATGTGGCTTGACCTGTGGCCTATGTGAAAGGCTGGGTCCCCGGATCACTGCCTGAGGCAAGTCACCTCCTCTTCTGTCTGTCTTAAGCCAATGTATTTTGGGGAAATTGATTTCTTGCCATTTTTTCATACGTCAGTTGCTAACTTGCACTGTCCACTATAGACTCCAAATAAGAGAAGTGACATTCGGTCTCAATATAAAAAACAGTCACGGGAGAAACTTGAACGTAGCAGGGTTTTATATATATTTGGGTCATAGATGAGTACCATATACACAGCATACCAAAAAAAGAAACTTGTATTTACAAGCTCAATGTATTATGAATGGGCACAGTGCTGAATAGTTTAAAAAGATCAACCGGTAAGATCTTTTAAAAGAGCCGGGCTCGGTGGCTCAGCCTGTAATCCCAGCGCTTCGGGAGGCTGAGGTGAGTGAACTGCCTGAGCCCGCGGGTTCGAGACCCGCCTGGGCAACTTAGTGAGACCTCATCTCTTAAAATAAATCAAAAAATCAGCCAGGTGTGGTAGCGCACGCCTGTAATTCTGGCTACTCAGAAGGCTGAGGTGGAAGGATCGCCGGAGTCCAGCAGGTCGAGGCTGCGGTGGCCGGAAGCGGCCACTGCACTCCAGTCTGGGTGACAGAGTGAGACTCCAACTCAAAAAAAAAAAAAGATCTTTTAAAAGGGTGGGAGTGGGGGACTTTATTATAGCTACATTTAACACAATTTTAATGTATGCTCTCAATTCAATATATCTTTTATCTGGTGTGAACACGGTCAGCCTCCTACATCTATCCCTTCTTCTGCAGATTGTACACACAGGAAGGAGGCTTCTTAGTTTTATAGGCCACACTGCTCCTGATGCGCTCTCCTTTGATGTTAACGATGTGTGGCAAGAGAGGGGGACGGACCGTCAGAAGCGTTCCTTGAGGAGTGTAGCCTCGGAGATGCAATCTGTCCTTAGCGTGAGGCGTTACTGCAACCCAACCTGTGCAGGCATGTGACAGAACACACAATGCTGTTAGCAACCATCTTATTATAAAAAATACCAAGCTGGCGGGAGGTGGGGGTGGTGCAGTGGCTCACAGTTGTAATCCCAGCACTTTGGAAGATGGAGGCGAAAGTACTGCCCAAGTCCAGGGGTTTGAGACCAGCCTGCGCGATTTGGCGAGACCTGGTCTCTACAATAAATCCAAAAATTAGCTGGGTGTAGTGGGAGGCACCTGTGGTTCCAGCTACTTGAAGGATGGCCTGAGCCCAGCAGGTGGACTATGGTGGCTGCGAGCATGCCACTGCACTCCAGCCAGGTGATAGAGACTCCTACTAAAAAAACAAACCCCCCAAAACCAAAAAAACCGAGCCAGCCCAAATGGAACACACCGTCGGAGGCTATCACTCCATTCTGTTCTATTTTTATTTATAAATTTTATTATCATTATTTATTTAGAGAGGGTGTCTCACTATGTTGCCTAGGCTAGACTTCAGCTCCTGAAATGATCCTCCTGCCTCAGCCTCCTGAGTAGCTACAGGTGGGCGCCACCACTCCTGGCTTTACTCTATTTTTTTTCTTTTTTTAGAGATGAGGTCTTGTCAAGTTGCCCAGGGGTGGTTTCAAAACCCCTGGACTCAGGCAATCCTCTCAACTACGCCTCCTAAAGTGCCAGGATTACAGACGTGAGCCACTGTGCCCAGCCGGCTTTTTGTTTTTAAAAAAACATACAATGAATTTGCAAAAAGTGCAAATTTATTTTCAATACAGGCTGCATTTTTTTTTTTTTTTTTTTGAGTTGGAGTCTCACTGTCACCCAGGCTAGAATGCAGTAACATGTTGACGACCACTGCAGCCTTGACCCGCTGGGCTCAGGTGATCCTTTCGCCTCAGTCTTCCAAGTAGATGGAACTACAGGCATGCCCCACCATGCCCAGCTAATTTTTTTTACTTTTATTGTAGAGATGAGGTCTCATCAAGTTGCCCAGGCTGGTCTCGAACTCGTGGGCTCAGGCAGTCCTCTCACCTCAGCCTCCCAATGTGCTCGGATTATAGGCGTGAGCCACCACGCCTGACTCAGGCTGCTTCTTATGAATAATTAGCATGCCGTAAAATAATCCACTCACGTCAGTTAAGGCATGTTTCTATAAAAACACTCTAAGTCAGTAAGACCACTTTATTCACTTTTTGAGTCTGGGTCTCACTCTGTCGACCAGGCTGGAGAGCATCCACAGCTCACTGCAGGCTTGACCTCCTAGGCTCAGGTGATCCTTCCACCTCAGCCTCCTGAGTAGCTGGGACTACAGGTGTGTGCCACCAGGCCTGGCTCATTTTTTTGATTTTTTTTTGTAGAGACGAGGTTTCACCATGTTGCCCAAGCTGTCTCAAACTACTCAGCTCAAACAGTCCTCTTGTCTCAGTCTTCCAAAGCGTTGGGAGTCTCCGCACCTGGTCTATTCACTTTTTAAAAGGTGCCTGGCATAAAATTACCTGCAGAGGAAAACTTGATGTCAGCCACTGCTTCAGACTCCCCATGTCCTTCTTTTAACGTAATATCTTCAGCAATAAGAGGAGGAAATTCTGCCATTCGTTCTTTTCCACCCATTGGAACCTTCCAATTAAATGAAGAGGTTTAGAAGTTCAGATTACATTCCCTGGAATTCTAATACCTGCATTAAATAAATCACTGATGGTAATTCTGTACAGGGATCAAGCATAAAATCCTTTTCAATACTCAACCATTTTTAAAAGGCCTCAAATCAGCTGGGCTTGGTGGCTCAGCCTGTAATCCCACGCTTTGGGAGGTTAAGGTGAGTGGACTGCCTGAGCCTGCGGGTTCGAGACCCGCCTGGGCAACTTGGCGAGACCTCATCTCTACAATAAATCAAAAAATTAGCTGGGCGTGGTAGCGCACACCTGTAGTTCCAGCTACTTGGAAGGCTAAGGCGGTAGGATTGCCAGAGCCCAGCAGGTAGAGGCTGTGGTGACCCGGAGCATGCCACTGCCCTCCAGCCTGGGCGACAGAGTGAGACTCCAACTCAAAACAAAACAAAAAAAACCTCAAATCAATTCTGGGGTCACATGGCAGCAGCCCCCAAAAGAGAATCACACTTCATTTACACTGTTTTTCTATCATAGCACCTCCACAGGGCTTCACGTAATGTTGGGCCATTAACGAAGGTCTTCCAAACACCTTAGTTCTCATAGGTGCGGCCACAAGGAATCCCTGTTTTTATGGGTTAAAGGTCCATGTCTAATGGATAAGATTTAGCTTCTATGTTTACAGATGCGTCTATGAATTAGAAGCCGCTGGATAATAATATATATAATTTGGTGATACCTTGTCTCTGCTATAAATCAAAAAATTAGCTGGGAATGGTAGCGCACACCTATAGTTCCAGCTACTTGGAAGGCTGAGGCAGAAGGATTGCCTGAGCCCAACAGGTCGAGGCTGTGGTGGCCGGAAGTGGCCACTGCACTCCAGTCTGGGCAGCAGAGTGAGACTCCAACTCAAAAAAAAAAAAGAGAAAAAAAAAAAAAGAAAGATGCTCTGGGTCAGCATATATACAGGCAAAAACTGAAAAAAAGGATGATGAGTCCAGGGGACTGTAACTTAATAGTCCAGAATATGCTACGTGTTTATACAGCTTTCTGCAATGATGTCACCAGTGGGCACTCAAAATGTAGGTAGTGTGACCAAGGAGCTATTTTACATTTTAATTTAAAAAAAAAATTTTTTCCCAACCTGAGAATGCTCATTTACAATATATACATGGGCAGCAGACAGCAGACATTCTTGAGGCTGTCCTGCCCATTGTGCCCCTCACAATGTATCTTCTCTTTAATAGATTTATCTTTCTTAGCTCAGAAGAAAAAAAAAAAGACTAGGTCTTGCTATGTTGCCCAGGCAGGAATACAGTGGCATGATCATAGCATATTGTAGCCTTGAACTCCTGGGCTCACGAGCTCCTCCTGCCTCAGCCTCCTGAGTAGCTGGGACTATAGGTATGTGCCACTACACTAGGCAAGTTTTATTTAATTTTAAGTAATATATTTAAATGTATATAGCTGTATGTGGCTATGGTTTCCATATGGGACAGTGTAGTCTACAGAAAAAACAGTTCCATGGTGGCTATTCTAGGATCAGTCCAAACCCACAGCCCCTTTCGTAGCCATTTCTCTTTACAGCCAGACTCTTTTTTTTTCTGAGTTGGAGTCTCACTCTGTCGCCCAGACTGGAGTGCGGTAGCCACTCCCGGCCACTGCAGCCTCGACCTGCTGGGCTCCGGCGATCCTTCCACCTCAGCCTTCCACGTAGCTGGAACTACAGGTGCACGCTACCACACCCGGCTGATTTTTTGATTTATTGTAGAGATAAGGTCTCGCTAAGTCGCCTAGGCGGGTCTCGAACCCGCGGGCTCAGGCAATCCACTCACGTCAGCCTCCCAAGGCACGGGATTACAGGCTGAGCCACCAAGCCTGGCTTACAGCCAGACTCTTTGGGGAGAATGTGGTGAGGGAGAATCAGCCCAAGGCACAGCAGACAGTTCTGTCCAACAGATGCCTTCGTAACAGAGCCACGGGACCATCTCAGTGTTCGCTCACCATCACCATGCAACCATCACACCTGCTGCCTCACCTGGAGTAAAAGGTGCCCTGCATGCTTCTCATACACAGCGTCGGCCTTGTCCAATGAAGTGATGTGCACGGGGAGAAAGTTAGAGGCCACGACCGTAAACCATGCTGACTGATTTCCCTTAAGAGAGGAAGACAGAAGTTAAACCTGGAAAACCTACACATTCCAAAGTACAACCAGTGACCAAAACCAAAAACAAAACACCAAATCAGGCCGGGCTTGGTGGCTCAGCCTGTAATCCCAGCGCTTTGGGAGGCCGAGGTGAGTGGATTGCCTGAGCCCGTGGGTTGGAGACCCGTCCGGGAAACTTGTCGAGACCTCATCTCTACAAGAAGTCAAAAATTAGCCAGGCATGGTAGCACACACCTGTAGTTCCAGCTACTTGGAAAGCTGAGGTGGAAGGATCGCCGGAGCCCAGCAGGTCGAGGCTGCGGTGGCCAGGAGCGTGTCACTACACTCCAGTCTGGGAGACAGAGTGAGACTCCATCCAATTAAAAAAAACCAAACTCACCCCCAAAAAACCAAATCAAACTCCCCTTTTGTCATACTGATGTGGCAGAAGCTGTAATTGGAGTGAACTAATGCCTGAAAAGGGCACAGAAGAGTCAATGCATTCACTTCCTCATGGCGGCCTGTGGCTTCTTCCAGACTTGTTTTTGACACTACTAAAAAAAATATATCTATCATTAAAAATAAGCAGGAAATTGTCTGCTTCAACTATCCTTGTATAAAATTATTTTATTTATTTTTTTGAGTCAGAGTCTTACTCTGTCACCAGGCTGGAGTGCAGTGGCATGCTCACGGTCACCACAGCCTCGACCTGCTGGGCTCAGGTGATCCTTCTGCCTCAGCCTTCCAAGTAGCTGGAACTACAGCCGTGTGCCACCACTCCCAACTAATTTGTGTTTTTTTAATTGTAGAGACAAGGTCTTGCCATGTTGCCTCGACTGGTCTCAAACCCCTGGGCTTAGGCAATCCTCTCGCCTCAGCCTCCCAAAGTGCTGGGATTACAGGCTTGAGCCACCACACCCAGTCAAAATTATTTTATTTTTTTTTAGTTGGAGTCTCACTCTGTCGCCCAGACTGGAGTGCAGTGGCCGCTCCTGGCCACCGCAGCCTTGACCTGCTTGGCTCTGGCAATCTTTCCGCCTCAGCCTTCCAAGTAGCTGGAACTACAGGCGCGAGCTACCGCACCCAGCTAGGTTTTTTTTTTTTATTCATTGTAGAGATGAGGTCTCACCAAGTTGTCCAGGCAGGTCTCGAACCCACGGGCTCAGGCAATCCACTCACCTCAGCCTCCCAAGGTGCGGGATTACAGGGTGAGCCACCGAGCCCGGTTCAAAATTATTTTAAAATGTTTACATTTTATGTGCTTTGAGGAAATGAGTAAGGGTTCTAAGTGTGTAAGGCTAAATTTCCAACAAAGTATAAACAAACACAAAACCCAGGAAATGTGCTATAGTAATGGCTTGTAAGTTGCAATAGTAATGGCTTGTAAGTTGCAATATCCATGTTTCCTTTTCCTTTTATCTCCTCAATTTGGCAAAATGGAGAGCAATTCTACAGATACTACCAAATCCCCAGATGCTATGTAAATGAATACCTCATAAAAAAGTACCTGTAAGAAAACATGAATATCATGGGATATCAAAAGTGTGGAGTTAACTTAATGTACATTAACCCTGTACCTCCAGGCTTGACCTTATGGTTTCCATGTAAAATAAAACCACAGGGACAATATCTTGTCATTTTAAATTTTGCGTTGGGGCTTTCCTCGGTTGCCCAGGTTGGAGTGTTGTGGCATGCTTCTGGTTTACCTCAGCCTTGATCTCCTGAGCTCAGGTGATCCTCTGACTCAGCCTCCCAAGTAAGCTGGAACTAAAGGAATGCACCACCATACCCAGTTGAGTTTTTGCAAAGAGGTCCTGCTATGTTGCCTAGGCTGGTCTCAAACTCCTGGGCTCAGGTAATCCTCTCGCCTCTGCCTCCCAAAGTACTGTGATTACAGGTGTGAGCTATCATGCTGGGCCTAAAGACATTTTTTAATGGTATGGACTTTTCTTACCTGCAGGAAGTCTATGCGGCCTATTGCACCCAAAAACAGAACCATTCCTGGTTTAAGCACATAAGTTCTTGGAACAATGGAATGTGTTGGCAAAACAATATTTACTTCTTTTTCTGTTAGAAGATTTAAAATCTGTGAAGCAAATGGCAGATTATTTAGAGAAATATTTTCATTGAAAATGATATATTTTATCATGTAAAAGACAAAAAAAAATTCCAGACTTCACACACACACACAAATTATGTCACAGTCTGCTGTACATAAACTTATATACATTCTGTCAAAATTAACCTCAATTTACTGATGGCTCTATTCTTGTTTTACAATATAATCTTGAGTAATGGAAAAAGAACTTTCTAGGAATACGAGCCTTTTTCCTGTGTTAGCATCCAAATATATATATATATATATATATATATAAATATATAAATATATAAAGCCAGGCTCGGTGGCTCAGCCTGTAATCCTGTGCCTTTGGGAGGCTGAGGTGAGTGGATTGCCTGAGCCTGCAGGTTTGAGACCCACCTGGGCA